AAAAAAAAAATAAAGCATGTTTTATATCTAAAATTTTAACATTTAGTACAATATTTCTCATAAGTTTTTCTACCTTTATAAAAAACAGTTTACCGAAAATTCAGTTTAATTTTTTTAATTGATGTAATACAATTTTCTTATTTTATTGTAATAACCTTAGGTACTTGAAATTTCAAATTTGTTTTGTTGTAATTTAAAAACAATATTTGTGGGCGCTTGAAAAGTTGAAACTCTTAAAGTATATATTCACTCTCAATGACTTCAAATGCAATTTTTTCCGTAAAAGTATTTAATCAACTGTTTTACTAATGTTAAATAGTAACATAAATTATTTTAATACCAATAATGTCATAAAATATACCTTGAGCTTATAGTCCATCTTTGCACAGAATGGTTTTTTGTATACAATTATTTTATATTGAATTCTAATTTAACATGCCTATTACAGTGACCCCTGTAGATTAAATAGCTCTTTTAGTCAATTTTGGATTTGAAATATAAGTTAATACAATAAAATGACTTATTTATATTTATTTATTCATTCAAATATATAATTCTATAATTGTTCTTTTAAAAAAAAAAAATTAAACTTGTATGGTGTGTGCCATGCATGAGCTAATAAAATGGTAATTCAGAGAAATGGACGGTGAGCTAATTTCATATTCAACATATTAAATTGAAAAAAAAATTCAAAAAGTACTAAGTTACAGTGTACTGTTTTCTACGCACACAAATTTAAATACACTTTTACTTGAATTACTACAAAGTCACACAGCACATTTTATAATCGACTGACATCATTGACAGATTCTCACTTATAATAAACAGTATTTAGTGGATATTATTTATACATAGTATATTTTTACCTTAACTAAATTATTATTATATACACAATATAATAGTTATTGAAYTATTAAACAAAAGCTATCATTTGGTCTATACAAATTGAAGTAAATAATTATAATTTATTAAATTGATTTAGTCAATCTTGTGGTTAATAATAAGTATTAAAAAATTACATTATTTTATTTATGGAAAGTATACATTATAGCTGACTTGATGTCAACACTGCCATGCACATAATATTTTTTGTAGGATTAACAAATCACTTATTCAATAATTAAAACTATTTAATTTTGGCTTTGATTTTAATTGCTTGAAGTGGTTTTTGTTGGTTTTTTCTATAAGATGCAAAAAATTCAAATTGGTTGTATTTTTATATGTAAATGGTCTTATGCTGTGGTGTATGGTAAGGATTATAATTAAATAATTTCAACTTATTTATAAGGTAGATGTAATAAATAATATTTTATTTACCTACTTAAAAAATGATATAATAATATGTGAATTTGTTTCTAATATGATACTTAGATTTCCTTTTAATTTAATACAAATAGGTAATATTTTTTTTAGCTCTTGCTTATTTTTATTAATATTTAATTTTAAAAAGATCAAATCTCATTAAATATTAAATATTTATTTTATTTTATTTTAAATAGTAATATACAATAAATTAATGCATAAAAATAATAAGTTTTTTTTCTATTTTTGACCTCATTAATTGTAGTGATGTGATATTTTAATAACTAATCATGAAGAATTGATTAAGTTTTAAATAGTTAGGAAAGATTTTTTAATTTTCTTTTGCTGCATATTTGCAATTTTTGTTTAATAGTGATAAGTATTGTTTTACAATGTTTCAGATAACCTAGGATTACAGACTACATATAATAATAATAGGGTATGTTTAATTTATTTTTAATTTCATACTTTTAATTTGATTTATATTTAAAAAAAGTATTATTGTTATACCATACGGGAAAACTGTATATAATTAAACTTGCTTACATTTATGAATATAATTAATTTTACAATAATTATTCTTAAGAGTACATAACAGTGGTATTTGYTGTCTCCGTCTTACCAGTGCGTAATATAGCAATTTTACGCTCAGCAGAACACTTGTAGCTCCTTTAGTTRAAAAATTACAGTGAATCGTCCTATTATAAAACTTGATGGTAAGAACATTATCTGTGTTTGTATGTTGGTTTTTTTTACAATAATTCAATTTTTWRGTGAGTTATGAGCATTTTTAATTTACTGTATGTTATATGCTCATAATTCACTTAAAAATTGAATTATCGAAAATAAACCAACGTATAAACACAGATAATAGATAATGTTCTTACCATCAAGTTTTATAATAGGACGATTCACTGTAATTTTTTAACTAAAGGAGCTACAAGTGTTCTGCTGAGCGTAAAATTGCTATATTACGCACTGGTAAGACGGAGACAACAAATACAACTGTTACATACTCTTAATAAAAATATAATTGCAAGAAATTATATTATATAATTATAAAGTTATGGTAATGACTAATAAGTAAGCCAATATTTCTATTAAATCTAATCCTTTTTGGTGTTTTATTTTTTTTAGAGAAATAATACTGAAGATACTAGTAATACTGCAATTAAAAGAAATAAGCAAAAGAAGGAATTAAAGAAGGTTTGTCTGATAACTAATTATATTTAAGCATTTTAATTTTGTTTGTTTGAAACATTTAATTTTTAGAGAGATGAAGTTGTTCGCTCTGAAGATATTCAAGGATATCGAGGGGATAAAAATATTGATGAAATCTTAAAGTTCATTGGAGATAAAAGTAGTGATGGCAAAAAAAGTAAAGGTAGTAAGACTAAAAATAAAATAAAAAGTCGAAATGGAAAAGGTTCTGATGATGATTGTGGTAGGCCAAAAAATGGTAAAATGAAAATGACCAAGTATAATAGTGTTGAAGAAGTATCTACCACAGTCTTTCAACATATGGATAGTTCAGACGATGAGTCTAAATCAATTAAAATAAGTAAAAAAAGTAAAAAAAAAGTACCAAAACAAAATCAATCTTCTAAGAAGTTTGCATCTACTGAACAGAGACTTGATGTTTTATCATCAGAGTCACAAGATACAGATTCTGCTGATTTTTTGTTGGTTACCAATAAACAGAGAAGAAAAAAACAGAAATCACAAAATAAATTAAATACAACCACTAGTAACTTTCCTCCTCATGACTCATATTTATTGTCACAGTACACACAACCTAAAAGTGTAAAAAATAAAAAAAGAAGGAAATCCACATCTTCAATGCCTCATTCTGACAAATCTGAAGACAACTCTGATCTAGATTCTGTACACTCTCTGCCTGCCTCATCTACACCTTCTAAACAGCCATCATACAAAGACGCTCCTAAAACTGATTTGACTAAACCAGCCTGTGTAGTTACCACTTCTGAAGAGTCAATACCAACAGTTACTGTTGCACTTCCGCAACGAAATACTGACAGCATAGCGAGTAATATAAATTACAATAATGAATGTATCAATGGGGATGTGCATGTCACATATATTGTGCATGAACCCCAAAAAGCGGATATTGAGACCGCTAAAAAGACTGCCGTTTTAAACAAAGTTCCTGCAGCGGTCCCCCCACAGAGCGCCTCGCTGACTGTGCGTGTACCGTCAAAGAAAAAACAAAGCCCAATTATGTATAATAAGTATGAGGTGGATACAAGCCTGTCTTTTGGATTTGAAATTGACCAAAATTTACTGTGTGATAGTGCTAATGATTACTCACCTCCAGCACCAATTCCTATGCCTATAGAGTACAACTATAAAGAAGTGATATTGTTTATCAAACAAGGTAATTAAAAATTAAATTGCATTTTTAATCTATAATAATACATACTATAAAACATGATAAGCCACATTTTTAAAATATAAAATGTAAGAATTAATTATAAAACTGGAAAATATTTTATTTTTTTTAGCTTCTTGTATATTTATTATTACTATCWWTATTGTTAAATCTTCAAATGAATAGTTTCAATTAACAGAAATCCTCAWTTTTTGCTCAATTATTTTAGTTCTGAAATAAATATGATTTAATTGAAGTAATATAATTTAATAATACATAATGGTTTTTTWCCCCTAAGAGTTATGGTGTATTAATTTATTATTTGAAAACTAATAATTAATGAGAAATTAAATGTTAWTTTTTTTCAATTTGTTTGAATATTCATGTTTTGGTATAATACGTAGTATACTAAACAACAGTACCTATACTGTACATGAACTGTTTTAATATGATATAATATTAAGTTAATTTTTTTTTTCTAGCTTGGCAAGATGTTGAAAAAGAGAAAATCAATGGTAGATCCAACATTTTGGAATACAAACGAGATAACAGTGGTGTTCTAGGAGAAATATGAAATTTTTGCCAAATAATGTTATGAATAAACATAATTTGTGTTCGACAACTAATCATATTTTGTAATAAATGATGAAAAAAAAAATAGAAAAAAATTCTACAGAATTCGTTAATATTCTTCGATACATTTTTATATACCATAGTAATTATTTATGTATGTAATTTGTATGTATATATATATATACATATTAAGAAACAGTGTTAAAAATTACTCTTCTTGAAAAAAAAAACAAAAAACATTAATTTAAAATGATGACCTGTGTCACTTAAAATATTTCTTTTTCAGCAAATATTGTGTATATGATTGTTAATTTAAAAAGGTCATTACATTTTTTCTTTTGTTAAGTTTGTACGTTCAAGTTTGTTTCGCTTATTTAAAATTGATAATTATATTTTGAAGGCAACTAAAAGGCCACAAAGTTAAATTTGTGAGTTATTCAAGTTGTTGGTGGTTAACACGTCAATATTAACATTTTTTTTTTTTTTTTTTGATGTACTTACAACACTTATTTGTTTCAAAACTTAAAAATTGTATTTGTTTACCTTACGAATAATTTTGTACATCATGTGTTAGGTTTTTGTTTCAGTTATATTTATGTGTAACTCATCTGTAATAAACTGATTTGATAACAGATAATTTCAGGAAATTATATAACCTAATTGTTTTTATTACATTATAATATACTCCAAGTGAATAGTGACAAAATATTAATACAATATTTATTTTTGTAATAATTTGCTAGGGTGTTTATAAGAGATGGCAAGGTATATTTTATCGCTATTATTAAAAATATTGTTGTAAAAAGTTTATTCATCGGTTGGGTTAAATTATTTCTGAGTATTAAAATTTTGAAGTGAATTATGAACATTTTTAAATATTAATTATTAATTTTTTAGGTATAATTTACTCATAACACATTTTTTGTTTTTTTTTTTTTCATAGAATGTTTTATTCAATCTGTTGAATAAAGAACAATAACAACCGAGGTGATTGATATAAATAAAAGAAACAAAACAAATAGAGATAACAGAGTGTAGAAGCTAGAAGCCTCCCAGTGGAAGTACTTATAATTCACTTGAAAATTATAATATCGTTTAAGACCAACAAAAGAAAGCAGATAATGTTCTTACCTAAAACTTTGATAATAGGTCAATTCATTCTAGAATCAAAACTAACGGCACACTATATTAACTAGTGAACGAATATTTGCCATGTCTTATGTCCAGTCTGAGTAGGACTCGCTCAATTTTGGTTCCAGAGTAAAAATACCTATTACAAAATTGAATTGCGATAAATGACCATATTTCTGAAGGTAAGAGGGTGCGTTTAAAAAAAAATATATATATAGGTATTTAGATTTTGAAAAGTCGAAGGTCATTCAAAAATGTTGACATTTTCACAATTTCTGAACGATATGTTGGAATCATGGAAAAAACGCACAGTCTGTCCAAAGAAATATCGCAATTCAATTTTGTAATGGGTGTAGGTATTTTTACTCTAGAACCAAAATTAAGCGAGTCCTGCTCAGACGGCGTAAATACATTTAGTCTATGTCGTAAGAGTGTAAGACGGAGACAACACTYGCGGTTATATAGCGTCTTCTTAAGATTCTTGACGAATTATTTTAGAAAAAACATTATAACCTGTGATAAAAATTCGTTTTTATGCTGCATCCATGTCCAGAATGTATTGAATGTTGATAAGAGTTATCAGTTGGTGGGAAACATCGTTGTATGTTACCAATGGCGCAACTAAGATCTATTTTCGGAGTAAGTTATACATATAAAAAATAAAGGTATTCACTTTTAAAAAGATTTCGGAAAGRGGGGCTAACTGTTGGTTACTAAGGTCCATTCAGATTACAAAAACACGGTTCCAGCCTGCATGTAAGTATTAAAATTTAAATAGAATCATAGGCGTTTGCGGGGTATGCAACTGCATACTCTGAAGCTCTTAGGGGGGGCGAAAATCGATACTAGGAAAAAACCTTTTTTTGCGCAGTAAAAATAATTAGAACGTATATTAATATATTTATTGTGATAACAAATGATTCAAAATAAGAGAAATTATGTCAGATTAACGGCAGTGATAACGTTTGATTCACGAATTAAATCATAAGGTGATTGCTATATGTAAATTAACCACCGTCCGACGTATAAAATTGCCTATGACCGGGTGCTATTAGCAAATTGAAACATCCAATTATTATAGTTACCAAGTATTTGCGAAATATATACTTTTTGTTTTTTATCATGGTATTTGTTACGTTATTTTTTAAATTAAACTAAGACTTTTCAATATTTGTGTACTGTGTAGGTATATCAGAATTTTACATGCTTAAAATAACTTTCAGGGCAYGCCAGTGGAAGTCTTTTGCATACCTCGAAAAAAAGGCTTGCGCACGCCTATGGATAGAATAATATAATAATGTACATGGACATTGGGCGCCCATTAGTAACTCCTCAGGAGAGAGGTTTATAAAAAAATTCTCAAATTTTTTATCTTAAGCTGTTAATATCATGATAATATTTATTAAATTTTAAGTTCATATAATTTTTTCAGGGGGGGGAATGCAAATACCCAGTCTTGCCCTCCCCCCAATGGGTGCCCATAATAATCTATCGCTTTTATTTTGTCAACTATGTAGACTTATACAAGTATGTTCATTTACAAATTGACAATGTTCTGGGGAAAAGGGGAAATTATTTCCTTCATACGTCATTGGAATATTTACGTTATGCGAATGTTTGCCAATTTAAAAATGGTTCAACTTTTTAACATTCTGCGTATATACCTAACATCTTATAACTTTACCTATCCTTACCTAACAACCTAACCTAACTATACTTAACGCTTACAAATTTAGTAAAAAATTCTGCTGGAATTAAGCAAAATATTAATCACTTCTTTATATACTATAGTTTAACATTAAAATTAACATTTTGACAGTATCAAACACTTTGGCCAAATCCAAGAAAATCGTATTTACTTTCATACTGTTATAATGAGCATTAGTTATGAAGTTACTGTCGCTACTCGCTACATTATTTGAGTCAAAAACTGACAAAGTTATTAGTATAAAGTATGTTTTATTGCTGAAATTAAAATCATTTTATATACTTTTTTTATTTTGAAGTTGTTTAAGTTTTGAATTGTTATAAAGGTTACCTATATCTAAATATATATATATTTTTAAATTTTATTAGATATAAACATGTCTATATGTAAATATGTACAATATTAGCAAAATAAGCTTATTTGATGAGAGCATACACAAAACAAAACAAAACAGAAAAAAAGAAAAAAAAGCGGGAAAGTGGGTATCGCTCTGCTGTACATTAGGTGGTAGGGTGGACCTYTGACTAGGGTAGATTAGATTTGAATGCAATGATAGGTATCATTGTATACGAAAAACGATTCTGAACGGATATGATTTGTCAGTCTAGATCTAGAATATATTATATTTAAATATTGTCATATATTCTATTTTGAAACAAATATTTTATTTTTCAATTAGGACGCATTTTGACTAAGGCATGGTTAATCAATTTTTCCAAAAACATTGCATGTAGTTAATAGTTATCATAATTCATAATACCTTATATTATCATAGATATACATATACCTGGTTTG